AGACTGAACCTGAACCGCAGCCTCAATGCGGCTGTTCCCACTGTACGTGTCTCGCATATTGAACGACCATATATATATATATCCATAGAGAGAGATATCCCCACCCGAAACTGGCAACCAAAAGCCTCAGAAACGAGGAATGCGGTGGCTATATGCCACAGCGAATGGTCCACGAAATCGATATTTATGGAGTAATCAGAGACTTCGATTTATGCGATGGCTCAAAGTTGGTAAGTGGGTATCGAAGCGATAGAACGCAACCCAAATTCTCGAGCTATAAGTTTTGAAAAAAAAACTATTTTTATCACAGAAGCATTCTCCTTTGCAAAAACTAAGCAGAAAAGATTATTGTACTTCAAAACAGTTGACAATAAATGAACTATTTGTGTTAACATAAAAACTTTAAAGGGTATTCTGATAAATATAGATAGAAAATAGCCATGAAAATGTAAAATAATGCAACACGAGATAGAAAATCACCAAATAATTAGATTCCAATAACACAAACTCAAAAGTAGAACGAACATCTGGTAGCCTGTGGAGATCCTGTGCATCGCATCCTTTATCCCATTGCCGCATCTCCTGATGGGCTAATGGGCGTGTCATTGCCCTAAACACCCACAAATATCCCTCGCTCAACGAGATGATTTATCCGCAATAAAATCGAGGACAACAGGAGTAAATGTTTTCGAAATAAACACTGACGCACAAACGCTGTGCAAACGGCGGCAACCTGGCGAGTTACTGACCATTTCGGGATTGTCCTGGCAGGACAATAGCGGCAAAATAACAGGACAACGCCCACGGTAGCAATAGCAGTGCGTTTGGACCACAGATGGACATTCGGGGATATGTGGAAGGATGTGTCCACCAGTCACAACAACAGGCACGCACTCACAGTGGCAATCATAAATAAATCGCACGGGGTTAAGACCACACTGCGGCCATCATCAAACTGGAAAAGCCGACAGGCAGTATAACCCTCTAGGACCCAGAGGGATAAACCCCGGACAAGTGGCGCCTCGGAAGGTAAATTCATAAGTTGTTTGTGCTAAAATCAAATCTAAGCTTAGCTAAGTGATTTCCATTTATTATAACTTATGTTATATGTACAAACTAAAAAGATGTTTATATTTCTTCAGCACTTTTTTGATTTATTACTGAAGTTCTCTTTACTTTTAAAAACCAAATAAGAAAACTATTTGGATATAACAAAATTAGTTAAGTAAATCGAATTAATATGATATCTGAGCAGCTAAAAAAACCCAGTAAAAGAAAAATTGATTACATCAGTACAAATAAAAACTTATATTAATTTAAAATGCAACAAATCTTAACAGCTCATTTAATCCATATTCAAGCCCAACGTTTTTAATTGTATGAAATTCCAGATAAACCCTTTAAAATCTCCACGAACCCCAAGCCGACATCATTAATCAAACTATTTGCAACTGATAATCGAGCATAGATCGAGTGCAACGGCATATCGAATTGCCTGGCCGATCTGATGCATTATTATGTCAGTCTCGTAATGCGGGCGTAGCGCACCAAAGGGTTAAGCCGAATCGCACTCCACAAATTATCTAAGCTAATTTCGTTTTACAATTTAATTAGTTTGAATTTCCACATGTCCCGCATATGACCGAATTTATTAGCAACGGGCTGCGCATGCGTCTCGCCCCCCATTTTTTTTTGTTTTTTCTTCGGGTTTTTAGTATTTTGGGCTTGGCCGAAGGTCCGGGGTCTTATCGCCGTCTCCGGCTGGATGATTCAGTCAAGGTAAGGCCCGCAATTGGGTCAGGGAGCCACAAAACTGGGCCCCAAAAATAAAAAAGAGCCAAAGAAATGTACGAGTATGTTTGTACAAACCCAAAAAAAAAAAGTAAAACAGAAACCAGACTGTTTGTCATGCGTGAGTGGGGCGAACTCACTTCCGGCCTTTTTCTTATAGTTTTTCACTCATATTTCACGGCTGATTGAGGTGGAAAAATCGGCCGGGAAACAGCGCTCTATAAAGTTCAAGAGAGTCTCCTCTAAGCATGCTAATATAATTCCACAGAGTACCTACAGTTCTCCACAAAATAATAGTACTTTCTTCAAACAATTCTAAAGTTGGCTGTGCAAATTCATTCCTAAAGTCACAATCTTCTCTCTCTAATAATCACAAAATGATCGAAAAACTTACGTCTTGGTTGAGAAACGAACTTGGCTGTATCAACTGTCGTCTGGAGAATGGAATTGGTCTAATCGGCATCGGTGCTTTTCTGTTCATCCAATCGAAGAAGTGCCCAAAACGCCTGGATAATTACGGAATCAAAAGCTTGGCTCTAGCCTTTGGACTAATGGGCATGGCCCGTCTGGCAGATGTTAGTTTCCCGAAGCAGAAACCGAAGGATCAGGACACTCCGACTTTAAGGACCACGGAAGATCATGAGTTCTTCAACAGCCGTTAATTGCATTTGAATTTTTTAATTTATATTTTTCCAAAATTGTTAATGTAAACAAAAAATACCAATAATAATACCCTTTAATGTTTAATAAAATTTTTTGTATATATATATATTGGGTGCTAGAACTATTACTGTGCTAGTACTAGCTGCCATTGAATATTTATAATAAAAACTTAATAAATGATGAAAAACAGCATCTTTAGTACTTTTTGGTTTGCCCTTTTCAAAAGCAAGAAACTGCTACTATTATTTTGAACGCGGCTGTGTTTTGGGGGGCAAGAAAGAGCGCAGGCTTGTCTAAATTTGGCATTAATTGCTTGGAAAATGTCGCTCTGCCTGGAAAAAGGGGGCGGCGAGTGGGTGGTGGGGGTGGTCAGGGGGCAGGGGGCAGGGGCAGAGGTGGGGACTGTGCTGCTCGTGCAGCTTGCCAGTTGCAATTCCAGGTTGCCAGCGTCTTCGCCGTCTCCTCTTGAGGACAATAAAAGTTCGTGAGAACTTGATGCTTATCGAACTGAACTTGCAGACAATGCCGCAGTGGGCAGCGGGATCCAGTCGGAAAATTGGCCAGGAAAATGGCCGGGAAAGGGGGGCTTTGATTAGCCTGAAATGGATCAAAATCAGACACCGATGCTCGCTAGCAGAATTTCCCACAGTCGCCAACAGCCAACAGCTGTCCCTTTTCTTTTCTTTGTCGCCAAAAACCTAGAGACCCTCTCTTCTATTTTCCACTAGTTTTGCACACATCTACCTCTTTCACGTGACAGTTTTCGTCCTGCAAATGTGTGTCCTCCTTAATCCTTTTTCTCACGCACCAAAAAACATTTAATAAAAAGAGAGCGCTGAGGTTCTCAAGCATCCTTCGATCGATGACACGTCGCAAATATTGGACAGCCTGCAAAATGCGCACTCATTGTCCTGGCGATTTCGCTACAACTGCCCCTGTCCTGAATTCTGAATTCTAAGTTCTGAACTCTGCGTCCAGAGTCCTGGGCCCTCGTCCTTGTTCCCTGCTTGCTTCCCTTCAGGTAGCGAGCTATCATAATGATCGTGGCTGCATCTGCATCCTCATCGATCGACAATGGCCACAAATCCGAATCACGATCAATTCAATTACCAACTCCCCAAGCAGGATCTCGCAGGATCTGCCCAGAATCGCAAGAGGAGCCAGCTCACCTGCTCGTCTTTCCCATGACACATACTGCCGGGATTTTTGGGTTCTATTTTTGCAACTTTTCCGCTATTCGCGATCTGTCTGCACTGGCAAAAACAGTAGTTTTTAAAATTTAATTTTCGAATAATTTGAAACCTTGATTTAAAAAATGTATCTTTCCTTTTTTGGACATTTTTAATATTTATTGAAATCGTTTGAGACAAGTTATTAAATTGAAGCTATTAGTCAAAGACTGGAAGTTAGGACTTAATAGAATAAAAAGATTTTTTAAAGATGATTTAATATTTTTCTCCCGTTTCTAATATTAAACAATATATTCCCAAGAATTTGTCCAACTTTCTTGGAGAGTACACATATTTTCTTTCCATGTAGGGGCTAATCAAGTGGCAGCGGGACTGCGCGAAGGACATTGTCCCAGGATCTTTTCGCATTTCCACCGGCGCTGCTTTGTCTGCGTCTTTTCTGCTTTTCTGCTGAAACATGAAGCGGCCAACAAGTGTTTGGGCCTCAGGATGCAGGACCCAGAATCCAGCCTTCAGGACTCAAGACCCCGACCCCAGGACACAGGACTCCTGCATATGCGCTTAGTGTAATGGGATAAGCTGAAGGCCCGCTCTTTATTTTATTTCCCTTCCCGTCTTGCAAGTGCGCGATAATGAAATTTTATACTTGTTCCTGCCACTGGGCATTTCGATGGTACTTTGCTGGGAAATTGTGGGAAAATCTTTGTTAATCCCCGCCTGATGAATTGTTCGATCGATTGCAGGTGCAGCCCCATTGTTCGATCGCAAAACGAGATCGGTTCGCTGGTGTGAGGGCTAAGCCGGGGTTTCTGGTCTCGATTTGCACAATTACGATCGGCGATCAGCGATCAGTGATCTGCGATCGAGGATCTCTGGTGGATCGGTGGGGAAAATAAAAAGTTGCCCAAAGACATTGCACATGGTCAAAAATTGTCATTGGTTACATTTTTTTCTAAACAGCAATTCGTTTTTAATAAGACCACGCATTAGGTATGTTTAAGAAACAATTTATAGTATACAAAAATAAGCTTTTGAAAACAACTTTAATTTTGTAAACCCAAAACAAAACATTTATTTGTTGTATCAAAAGGTTAAATTTATCCAAAAGGCTAATATAGTTGAAAATACGAAGAGATAAAATGACGTTTAAGCTGTTTAAAAAATAGCGAAAAGATTAAAAATTTCCAAAATAAAACACTAATTGCCCAATGGACTAAACCGAAATTCTTTAGGTGAAATCTACTTTATACTCAAAGTATAATTTCCATAGGAAGGTATCCCCTCTGTTTGTTCAATTGATTTCCTTTCCCCGGCATTTAAATCACTGCCAATTAGATGCAGTCGCTCATTACTCACTGGCTCTTGGACTGATCATGTTGCCTGGGAACATTTGGTGGACGCACAATGTGGTGCTAGTGGTGCTGGTGGTGCCAGTGGTGCTGGTGGTGCTGCCATTACCGTTAGACTCACCTGCAAAGAGAAAAGCCGAGCATAAATTATTAATTAAGAAGTGGGGGAAGTACTATACAACAGCGGCGGATTCCAGTGCAAATAAATTAGTGGAGAGGTGGGAACTGCCACGTGTGGTGCACGCAAGAACCGTTCTTTCACCCACCAAACAACAACAGCAACAACAACAACAACAGCCGTAACAACTAAAACAACCGGTGACCAGTAATGACCTCTAGAGTAAAGGGCCGCCACCGATTCCATGTGAATGCCAAATGCGGAATCTTTTCACACTGCACTTGGGAAGACAAAAGAAGTTCGCATAACTGGAATTAAAGCAGCGCCAGCGGTAAACAGTAGTGCTAAATGGGCCAAGAAGAGGGCCTCCACCGCCGCCGCCGATCCTCGCATGCAATCGAAGTGGACAGCCCACTCCAAAACCCGAGTCAGTCACCCCGAAAAAAATAAAATAAAAAGCGGAAAAAAAGCAGAAGAAATAGAGGAGCTGTGGAGCCTCATCAGCGGAGACAATGGTGGGAATATTCTCATATTAAGAAATCGCGCGATCTTCAGCGCCAGATGTGTCCGTGTCCGTAAGTGTGTGTTTGTATTTAGTGCAACGCCAGGTCAGTACACCACCCAACCGCCCAGCCGCCCAGCCACCCACTACCATTGCCTTCACCTCCACCCACTTGCAACGGGCACAGGCAGCTTCCCCGCAGCAACAAGCAACTTGCAGCAGAAGCAGCAGCAGCGGCAACAGCAACTTGCAACAGCAGCAACTGCAACTGCAATGTTCATGGCAAATTCGCAACGTGTCGTGGTCGTGTCTTTGTTGTCATGTCCGAGAGTGTAACAAAGACCTCGACGGAGTGCCCCGCCCACTCCCTGCCTCCCTTTCCACACACCCCTCCCCCACCACCAAAAACGCCCCCGCCAAAGTAGCGCGAATAAACATTCAAGCGGCAGCAACAACAATAATTGCATTACACATAAAAATAAATTGTAATGAACTAAAGGAAGAGACTGCTGCAGCGGCAGCAAAAGAAGAAGAAGTAGCCAATGTGAAAATCGATGCGGAAGCAGCAACACAGAAAGGGCATTGCAGCAACATCAAAAGCAGCAGCAGCAGCAACAGCAGAAACTTGCAACTGCAACACATTTACCCTAGCTACTTTGTTTTACTCTTTCGGCTGAGGAATTTCCTACAATTCGTCTAACTGTAATTTTGTGCCGGGCTCTCTACCTGTTTTAAATATATTTAAATAACACGCCATCAACATGAGCAACAGCAACACAACAGCAGCAACATCAGGAACACAGCGGCAACAATGAGCGATATTAGAAAATTAAGAAGGGGGGAAAACTACAGGATACTTTTTAGAAAAAGCTTAGGATAAAGTGGTACAAAACTTTTTTGAGACAACGAAATTTTTTTTTTAATTTTTTGTGTTTTCAGAATAGATTAAATAAGTAAATTTATATTTGATTAAACATCTATAGTTATGGGGCCTAGAACTCTTTGAATTGTGCACATATCATTAGTTTTCTGATTTCATTTTAAAGTTGCTTGTTAAGAAACCCCGTATTTTGAGCTAGGCATTTGACAAAGCATGAAAAATATATACATAATACATTTACTAAGAAATTCACACACACTTCTCAATGCAATTTTTAAATTTTTTTGTATTTTCTATTCAAAATGAAAGTTTTGGTATGTAATCGATTTTATTTGGTTAACAATAAAACGTTTACCAGATTAAGGACCAAATCTAAGGTGATTCATAAAGTTGTCAAGGCGAAGAAGTCCTTGCCCACAGAAAATCACACGGGCAACTTGAAACACATGTGCCCTTGCATATGTATTTGTTTGTTGGACAATTAATTAGCCATGATTCTCACGACCTCAAATTAAGAGAAAAGCCATATCAAATACTAAATGGAAACGGCAGCAACATTAGCAGCAGCAATTGCTGCCACAGCAGCAACATCAAGAGCACAGCAGCAGCATTGAAACGGACAATGGACAACGGACAATGCAATGGCCCTAAGAGCTGGCTTCCAAGACTATTTGGGGAAGAGTTGCAAGTTGCTCATAGCGAGTTGCTAGTTGCCGGTTGCTGGTTGCAAGTTGCTGGTTGCTGGTTGCTGGTGGCAAGCGCCAGGCATTCGGGATTTTTTGGGGAATGTCAAGCGGCCTTTTGGAGGCGGCGTTGGTGGAGAGTTCGTCGAGAGCATGTTGCTAGATCTGATTTAAAGCGAAATTAGGAATAATGGCTATGGCCTGCACATGACAAACACACATATATATATATATATGCACTGGGCGAAAAAGAGCAGGGCCGAAGGGGGGGCATTAAAGGGAGGCGTTGACAGGCAGCAAATGCGAACAAGACAGCGTTTTTTTTTTTTGGTTTTGGTTACCCAGTCGAAGAGAAAAAGAAATTATCTCACGGATAATCCGAACAACACGTTCAAACTTTTTTCCACCAGCTTTTCCTCTCTTTTCATCTGCTTTTCGTTTCGTTTGCTGGCTTTTCTTCTCGGGCTGCCGTTTCTCGGGCGGATTCCGCCGTGGGTGGAAATCGGAGGATGGAGGCTGGGGGATGGCTGGGGGGATCAGGGTGGGCAGGTGATGGGGTCTCACCCTTTTGGGACGGCCGAAGGCATTGACAGTGCGGGGGCGCCTCGAAGCCCGGCTGAAACAATGGCAAACTCAACTCAAATGCACCTGACGGTCGCTCTGTCCAGGCAGCAAAGTCGACCGCAGCTGGAGTACACTGAGCGAAAATATGACCTAAAGTAAATCAAGAAATTAGCAGAATATCGAATGAACACATGTGGCCTATCAGAATGTGTATGACTATTTAAGAATTTTAAAACCTTTATTTTCTCTTGATTCAAACATGCATTTTTAGAAGGGCTTTTGTTAAAAGTATTTAGTACTTGGCAAGCCGTAGAAATATTGATGATAATCTCAAAACGGCATGAAAATATTTTAATCAACTACATAAAACTGAACAAAATTTTTTTGGGATCATTTTAACTTTATCATCTTTTTTTTTATTGAATAAAACAGTTTGTTGGAGCCAATTCAAAGATCTGTTTGAAATACTATGTATATTTAAAATATTTGAATACACTTTTCTTAAAGTGTGCATACTGGAAAGTGTTTGGATGTCAGATCGGGCTCTGTGGTTGGTCGTCGCTCATTGTTGTTGCAGAAAGCCATTTCGTATTTGCTTAGTTGCGATGAGAGAAAGGGTAACAGATTCCCACAGTCGGCGAGACAACGGTACTCGGTGCTCGGTGCTTGGTGCTCGGCCAGCAGCAACATCTCCCGCCAGCCCAAGAGCAGCATCTAGCCAGCAGCAACATCACAGCAGCAGCAACAGCAACAGCAGCAGCAGCAACAACCAGCCGTTGACAACTCGCAGGCCATTGTGCCCATGAATGAAAAGAAGCCAGAGTGTTTCTGTTTCTGTATTTTTCCTCCTTTTTTGTTTTTTTTGGGCTCGCTGATTGATGAATGTCAGCCGAAAGTGTGAGGGCAGGGCAGGTGTCATGGGAACCTGTCGGGTGGGAGTGTGGAACAGGGGGGACCGCTGAAGGTCACCCAACGTGAGAATCGAAAATGTGGCACACTCTCCCGCATCTTTAGTGTTTGCCCAGCTTCTGGCCGAAAGAGCTGAGAGCTCCACTCGAAGCCTTCAATTCCTTCAATTCGAATTTCGAACGGCAGCAAACAAAGGCCCAAGTGACGTGCGACCCACGAGCAACCAGCAACCAGCAACCGACAACCTGCAACATGCCTCGAGCAACATGCAACAGTTGCGGCACACTAACGGATTGCGGACTTAAGCAGTCTAACCTACAAATCATAAAAATGAACAGAGACACCCGAAAAGGGAATAAATAAACAAGTCAAAAGTAAATTCGCATGGTTGCAAAGTTGAAAGTTGAAGTCGAAGTCGAGTTGAAGTCGACACTTGAACGGAAAGCCTTGTATCTGAAAGATACTCGTACTTGAAACGATGCGCACTCTGCTCCGCGTGATCGACCGACTGTCGAAGGGGCTTACAAACTGGCGGACAAGCGGACAAACTTACGGACAAGCGAACAAACGGACGGACAGAGCGACCTAGGTGCCAGCCATAGGGCATCCATATGGATGAGCTGTTTGTATTACGTTTGAAAGTCATGTTGCAGATACTTTTCGTATATCTGCATATCTCCGGGCACCTGCTTGCCACCCGCCGACGCTGATGTTGCTGCTGGGATGTTGCTGTTGCTGCTGCAACGTTGCCGTTACCATCGCCGCTGTCGTCACTTGCATATCAATGTGGCCGAAAATAAAATGTGACGTCTCGAGGTGCACGATTAAGAGACTGCAGCATGAGCAAAAGGCACAAGTGCAGATGCAGCTCGGATTCAGATGCATCTCAGAGTCGCCCAGTGCGTCGCTTGTCGGCCTGTGACGCAATGCAAGACGGGACTGCACTATAGAATAAACAAAGCAGCTATCAGGTCACTGTGAGAAATGATATGCCTAGCAACCAATGCAAATATTTAAAATTCTAGCCGTGAATATTGTGAAGGACTTGAGTTTTTGAGTAACACATATTTAGTACAGGTAAAAGGTAATTCTTTAAAGCGTAGTACTACTTGCTTTGATTGAAGATATTTTTTCTGTTAGAAAAAAGAAATACGTATGTACTAAAAAGTACACTTCAACGCAGCGATTTTAAGGACACTCACCATAAAAACCAAATGGCAGCGCCAACAAATATTGAAACTAACTCAATACAATTTTTTAACGTAGTTAGTACTAGAAGAGTATTAATAAAGTTTAAAAAATGAATAAGAATATATTGTTTTGACTCACACTTGATAAACCGTTACCCATTTTCAATCCTGCACTAATTACCCAAAATATGTAAACACTTTTTTTTGCAGTGCCCCCATAAACTGGCAGATTGCTTGTGGTAACATTGAAAGTGCAGCGTCGATGGCGTCGTGTT